TATCTTAAATCAATAAAAAATTAAATTATTTAAAAAAAATTATAAAAATAATAAAAATTATTTCTAAATTATTTTTTTTAAATCAATAAAAAATTAATTATTTAAAAAATTATAAAATTATAAAAATAATAAAAATTATTTCTAAATTATTTTTTTTCAAATAAATAAATGTTGACTCTTTCAGAACGGCTTAGTTAATACTCCTAATAAAGCAGCAATTATTAAGTACTCTCATCTCATTTAATTTAATTGAGGTTTTTTATAACTTGTGTGCATCAAAGTGCATTAATTATATATATTTTTTAAATAAAACTTATAGTAAAATAGTATAAATATCATTGAGTTGAAAATAAAATAAATTTTTATATTTTATCATATAAATTAATAAAAATATATAATTAATATACTTTTAAGAGCATTACAAACCAATTCTAATTTCTAACAATTAACACTTAGCAAAGTCAAAATATTAAAAACGGCAAAGACCTTAATGTAATGCCTGTTACATATTGAGCTGCGGACAATAAATGTTTGGGAAGTTCTATCTATGTGCACCCTGTGGCCCAGGGTGCACAAACACTTCTCAATTTTTTTAAAAAAATTTTCTTACTTTCATTTTTTGAATTTTTAACATTTTTGTTTTAGGTAAAGATTAATAAAGTAATTAATTTTTTTATCATTAAATTATATAAGGGATTTTCTAACATAGGGCACATGTTAAGTTTATCTTTTTATTATAAATGTATATAAAAAGATGTAAAAATTGATATTAATTTTAGTGTCAAATGAATTTAATCAAACAATTGACAAATTAAATATTGATTTTTATTTTTTTAAATATAAATTTATAATAAAAATGTATATTTAATATACTTTTAATATGTATTTTTGGAGTACATGTTAGACAAATCTATTATATAAAAAAAATAAAGTTTGACTTTAATTTTAATAATTAACTAATTAAATTAAGACACATTGACATTAATATTAAAATAAAAAATTAGTGCATATCAGTCCTAATTTTCAAAAATAATTAAAATCTCAACCTATATCTAGAAATTGAAATCTCATTCTATTAAATATTGATAT